AACACAATAATAACATACTGGCACCGTGGTGTTTCTATGTATTGTGTGAATGGGCCTTACGCACATCAGGACCACGCAATCCCCCCTTCCTCATTTGTTTGCTTGCCGGGGCTCCCCGCGGTGTAAGGCTACTCTGATAGGTCCAGAGGGTTAATGGGACTGGCCTGCAGGGCAGCAGCTTACTAGGATATAAAGCCACAGCTCTCATCACGATAGCACAAGAAGTATCAATAGATGCGCTTTTACGCACAGTCGAGGGGGCTGTTGGTTTTTACGCACGGCAAACCATTAAGGCCTCTTTGGCACAGTTGAGTTTTTACGCGTTTGTGAGAAATCTTAGGTGTGACCATGACTCTCTCAAGTGAATTTGAAGCTTCACAACATGCCGGATTGCCTATACAAGAGGATGCGATTGACATAGTAGGCGAGGATGTCCACTATCGAAATGATTGCTCTACGGGTTCCTCAGCAGAATCTGGTGCGGAATTTGACTCTTCAGAACCAGAATCGTCGGGGGAAAGCGAGAACAGTTTCTGCGCAGACGCACCGGCGTCAAGGAAAGCCCAGAGCAGCTCGGTAAAGCCCCCGTACTCCTACATTGCTCTCATCACCATGGCTATCCTGCAGAGCCCGCTGAAGAAGCTAACGCTTAGTGGCATATGTGACTTCATTAGCAACAAGTTTCCCTACTACAGAGACAAGTTTCCCGCTTGGCAGAATTCGATCAGGCACAACCTCTCCCTTAACGACTGTTTCATCAAGATTCCGAGGGAGCCCGGAAACCCGGGAAAGGGCAACTACTGGTCTCTGGACCCTGCTTCGGAGGACATGTTCGACAACGGCAGTTTCCTTCGCCGGAGGAAACGGTTCAAGAGAAACCAGCCCGAGTTCGGCAAAGACGGACTGATGTTTTATTCCAGCTTTAACTGCTACCGGCCGTACGGACACCCATATAGCATAACTGGCCAGGTAAGCCACACGGCTGCCTCTTCTGTTCGTTACATGCCCCTGCAGGAAAGCATCGTGATGCCTTCCTCGTCCTACCACCTCCTACCACAACCCCTGAACAGCCACGGAAAGTGCGTTGGGCCTAAAGACTTAAGAGCACAGCTTTGCGCAGCAGAACCAGCTGAGCCGAAATCCGGCCCACAGGCAAAGTGCTCCTTCAGCATCGACAGTATCATGAGCAGACCCTCTTCTATCAGTCAGCACAACTCAAATCCACAGCACGGCCCGCACGGTGCTCTCGGTTACGGTCAACTCATGCCTGGCCCTGCTGCCTGTTTGGTTCCGACCCTCCTGCAGCCTTCAAGGAATCAGTTTTGCCCTCCTCCCATCCTGAGCACTGCTCCTTTTATAAACGAGCACCTCAGACTGTCGTACCCTCGTTGCTGAACCCTTTGAAAACACTTTACAGTGTCTGTATGTTTGGCGTAGTTCATTTCTTAAAGAAATGTTTTTTTTATTGCATGATATTTATGTGCGTTATGTCTGTAAATAAGATGTGTTGTAATATATTTGTCAAGGTTGCTTCAGAGGAAAACTTCGTCAATGTGAATGTGTTTTTTTTTTTATTAAGTAACGTGGCAAAATAAAATTAATATGTGGGAAACGATTGCAAGTTTTGTTATAATCTGAGTCAGTGCACAGTGCTCGTGAGAGCTGTAGGTGGATTTACTCAGAGCAGAAATTATTGTTTGTGTGTAAGTTTGAAAAACACTTAGATTTTCTATATTTTCTGTAGTCTTTATTAATATTTGTACCTGAAGTACAGGTGATGCCAAACCTTTATTCTAGCTACAGCAAAAATGACCTACTATAATTTAACTGACAGTATTTACTGTAAGGGTTCAACATTGTGTTGGCCTGCTTCCTCTTGATCAACTGAACTCACTTGTACTCTGCAGGCTACAAGAATGATGACAAAAATCAGATTTTATTAAAGTAAGTCAATGTCAAATTATAAAAACACATTTCCAACCAGGAAATGAATAAAAGCTATGCAAACGCAGGCCTTAAATTCGCACTGGTCATTGCTGATTAAATAATGAAACTCACTCAAATGAGAGTTAATCAGCAGGTTTTAGAAATGAAACTCTGTATCCCTAATTGGTACGCTCACGTTTACGTGTTTCATCAAGTATACAAAATAATAATAATGATATTTAAAAGTCACTTTTTCCATTCTGCCTCAAGGTCGCGCTGTTTCCAAAATATTGGAGCAGATGTTAGCGCACTGAAGTTGGCCCGTGTTATGGGATGGGCTACTTAAGAATTTACAGAACACACAGAATTCAAGATCTATCAAAACATTTTCAATTCAGAAAATAATAACAATTAAATAAAAACGGTACACTCTGATACTTCTAGATTTCTGTGACTATAGTAATGGCCTGTGGGTTAGTGTGAAAAGCACACACAAACACACACACAGGCGTGTCCGGTTGCAGACCGGTGCCGACACAATTCCCTTTTGCCATCAGTCAGATGTCTATTTTTGGCCGGAGGCTCAGCTGATTGTGAGTTTTGACGAGTCCACCCCTCCCTTATTTTTTTCTTCATAGTCAGTTGTTCAGGCTTATTAGAAGAGGGAGTTGTCCGCCAGCAGAGGAGGAGAGTGCTGGTGGCTGCTTAGCTCAGCCAGTACTATAGGATGCGACTCCTGGCTTGGGTCGAGGTGAAAACATTTTTGATTGGCTGTTTCTTGTCACTATAGCCACTTCGTCCCTGTGTGGGACTGCTGTCACCGCTTTTTTCCTCGACGGTGGGGAAACAACCTTTACTTCACTCTAGACTGACAAGTTGCATCTTTGAGCTGTTTCTATCAAACTTATTTTTGTACTCAGTGCTGTAAAATCCTACAAAACAAAACAAACAAACAAAAAACTCCACCAAACTTGTTTGATCGGTTAAAGAGGATGGAGACGAGCCCGATCCCGGTGGTGACGGTCCAAACCGCCCCCTTCGAGGACCAGCGGCCCGGTACCAATGGACTGCGGAGGAAGACTGCGGTGTTCGAGGGGAAGAAAAACTACTTGCAGAACTACATCCAGAGCGTGCTGTCCTCCATCGACCTGCGGGACCGACAGGGTTGCACCATGGTGGTGGGCAGCGACGGCCGCTACTTCAGCCGAGCTGCCATCGAGGTGATAGTGCAAATGGCAGCTGCCAACGGGGTAAGAATAGGGCGACCACCAGTGTCATGCATTTGTTCCTCTCTGTCAGCATGCAGGAGTCACTGTCACTGTTCTGCTCTGCGTTGGTGTAAGAGTTACTACAAGCAGGCTTAAACGCTTTTAGAAAAACACTTCTTGTTGGAATGGAAGACCAGCGGGTTCATAAACGGAATAATTATTCAACTTCACCAACAAACTCAGGATGTTAATGTAGCCTATGGCTTGTTTTGATCTGCACATATATTTAAATCATTAACACAGAGATGGAACAATTCACTGGGCTGGGAAATTTAGGGTCATCAGATGTTATTCTGCTACTTCTGGTGAGACTTTGGGAGTTTTATAATAAATCAGAATTGTGCAGTTGCTTATAATTGTTTCACATTTGCAGTAATTGTTGATACTGATACATACAAATCTGCTGAATTGAATTTAACAAGTCAGCTGCAAATAGGTTAAAATAAGAAGACAAAGTGAGGCACTGAGGAGGAAAATCCCTGCAGCTCTTAGGCTGTGAGATCTTTGCAGTTGGCTTGGAAAAGTTCCAAAGGAAAATTGGAAAGGAATATAATTTGTTTTGGGGATCAGTGCGTTTAAAAAAAAATTCTTTCTGCTGGTCCAGCCAAATGTCTTCTGGTGTCAGCCTTATCAGCATTTCCATCCATCCTGCTCTATTTTCCTGCCTACGTCTGCCCCCCACCACCGCCAACACACTGCCCACACCTCGGTGTTCAATCTATCAAGGGCTAAGTCTACATGCTGGGGATCCCCTGTCATACTGCAAGGAAAAGAACCAGAAGGATAATAGAAACACTTGCCAACTACCCACTCAGTGCATGTGCTATCCTTCTCAACACTGGTTACTGAGAAGATTCCATTTGTTAGGGCTTTCCCTCACTTTCCGATCTGTCCTTTATATACACATGCAACATCCCGGATGTTTAGAGGATGCCAGGAGAGCAAATTCCTCTCCAGTGAGGACAATTTTATTTAGAGAAGCTGGTATGCAGGAGAATTATGTTGGTGGTATTACCACTTTAGTATAAATAGAGGCGTAGTTCTGTTATTTAGGCATCCTTCTAGAGGGAGATCATTTGCCTTTTAAAGCAGGCAGCCAATTAGTCGCCTGCAGAATGACAAGATTCTTTGGGACAGGAAGTGATTTTTAACTTTTTGAGATCAGGAGAGAAACAAATGGATTGGATTTCAAAAGAATTCAAAGCATATGTTTGATTGAAAATGGAACAAACATTTTTAACCTTTTTTACAAATATGTTGCATTCTGTTTTTATAAAGCATTATGACTCTTTTTGAAACACAAAGATATTATATTATATTATGATTTTAGACCAGGTGATATCTGGAATGATATGAAACCATTATTGCTTCTCACTAATATTGGTTATGCACAGATTGGTCGTCTGGTAATTGGCCACAGTGGGCTCCTGTCCACCCCTGCGGTTTCCTGCATCATCAGGAAGATCAAGGCCATTGGAGGGATTATCCTTACGGCAAGTCACAATCCTGGAGGCCCTGGAGGAGACTTTGGAATCAAGTTCAATGTGGCAAATGGAGGTGAGGATTTAGAAAATACATTTGCTTTTCCATCTGACTCTGATTTTAAAGTCAAAAATAGAAGTTTGAGACAATTTGATTAAAAAAAAAAACATTTGCGGCAAAAATTAATGCTAATGTTACAACTTGGCTCCTAGGCCATGATATAAAATGGAGTGTGATATCAGAATTGACAAATACAGGTGATTTGTTAAAGTTAAAAAATCTAGGGCACCAAATATAACTTTAATAACATTACAAGTTTCTCTAAGCATGCGTTTGTGCCACACCTTCTCATGGATGGGCAGTTAAGTAAACTCATACATGTATCCAAAGACTCTTGCACTGCCAGGAGTTGTAACACCAGTGAGGGATGCATTTTTCATTGTCTTTGTTTCTCTGTCTGGCAGGGCCCTCTCCAGACACAGTGATGGAGAGGATCTACCAGGTGAGCCGGACACTCGAGGAGTACGCCATATGCCCCGATCTCCGCATTGATCTCTCTAGGCTCGGAAGACAGGAGTTTGACCTCGAGAACAAATTCAAACCTTTCAGAGGTACAACATTCGTGCATGTTTAGTTAAAAAGCATCTCTGCATCATTCTGAATTCTTCAGTATTATCCACAAGCTTGGATTTCCCCCCCACATTGCTACAAACTTTCCTGTTGTGTGATGCTAGTAGAACCCCTCTTTCTATCATTCAAAATGCACAGAAAAAAACATACTCTCATCCAGTACTAACAGGTTCTTCTGTCTCTATCCAGTGGAGATTGTAGACACGGTTGAAGTGTATCTACAAATGCTACGAAACATCTTTGACTTCACTGCCATTAAAAGTCTCCTCACAGGACCAGATCAGCCTAAAATACACATAGATGCCATGAACGGAGGTCAGTTCATCATCATACGTCCTGTAAGCCCTGCACTGCAGTTACTGTTATTCATATTATTCTGCTAACTTCTACTCACCTTTTGCTTTGTTACAGTGATGGGCCCCTATGTACGTAGGATTCTGTGTGATGAGTTGGGAGCTCCTGCTAACTCTGCTGTAAACTGTGTACCTCTGGAGGACTTTGGTGGCCGACCTCCTGAGCCCAACCTGACTTATGCCACCTCTCTGGTAGAGTCCATGAAAGGAGGCGACTTTGGCTTTGGGGCGGCATTTGATGCAGATGGGGTAAGCCATTTGCTAGAAGTCCTACTCCAGAATGTGCAATCATTTATTCAAGACTACATGGGTGTAGTGGTGCTGAAAAGCACTACACCCATGCTCTGATACTTTTCAAGTGTACCATATAATAGTGGTTTACACATTTCCTTCACAAATGACAGGTTGCTGGTACAATTCTGCCTGAAGACACAAATCCACTTTGGGGTTTTGTCAGGAAAGGCATCATGCATAAAACTGCCAAGTCAAACAAAACAACAGTGCTACCTACTGTGGCAATCCACTGTGACAAGGGAGCAGCCAGAAGTGGCTTTTAATATAATTCAGTAATCACAGAGTGTGTCGCGTACCGTTAATGTTTGGTTACCACAGTAAACGCTTTATACAAACAAGATTTCCTGTTTAAGTTTCAAATTAAAAGCCCTCTATTATTTCAGGAAACAGAAAGGCTTCACTGCTTATATTGTGAAACATGTGCAGGACCTAAAGAACTCAAACTCAAAGTTTTATTAAAGAAAAATTGTACTCTTACGATTACCTCTGCCCAGGACATTCATCCTTTGACAACTGGCTACTAATTTACACCGGAAAAAAGGGAGCAAGGAGAAAGTTACATAACCTTAGAACCAATTTCTTACATATAGATAATCATTTTCTGCACAATGACAAAAGTCATGTAGGATGTCTTCTGGGCTGTCTTGATGGGAAAGCTGCTTCAGTACTGTTTGCCTTAAAAAAACAAACAACCGTGAAAAAAACAACAGATTTAAGGCGACATGTGAAACGTTTACACAGACCCCCAAGTTATTCACAAACTGGATAAAATAACATGCAATAGGATGACCGGCAATTTTCCACTAAAACCTATTTTGATCTGTGTTGTACTGCAAACACTCTTATTAAGCAGGACAAAGGAAGAAGTGCACAAAAACGTAAATGCAAAAATTAATAGGTAATACTCGAAATCACTTACTGTACATTTTAGGGATGTTTCTGAGGTCTTATTAATCTGTACTGCACAGGAGAATGTTCCTAAAGAACATTATGAGCTGTCCCCTGTGAATTGTCCAGTATTCCTTCAACTGGATTTGGCTTAAAAGGAAATTAAAATACAGGGATTGGAAAATGCATTAAGAGATCTTTAGTAACTGAGACTCCTGCAAATGATGGTGATATATATATATCCTTCAAAATTTGGTTTAATAAGTAATTTAAAAAAATATTTTTAAAAAGAAACAGAAAATACTGACCTAAGTGTGCGCTGGGATCATATTTAAGAACATATTTAAGTGGCTGTGGCTGTTTTAGTTCTCATACATACATAATATCTCTAATAATCCATAATATAAAATAATTAAATAGATCCTTTTTGTGGTATTTACATGCCATGTTGCTCCACAATCTATTCATTCATTTCTTTAAACCTAGCTGACTTTTATTGCTATAAAAGCTAAATCCAAGGTATTGACTCCAGCCAGAGACAGCAGAGAAATCCTTATTTATTTTTTATTTGTTTATAATTGCACGTTGATTTCAGGAGTGAAGGCAATGGGTGCGAAGTTGCAGTGCATGCACAATAATCCAACGGGCGTCTCACTTTTTCCACAATGTCATCCAATAGACATTTATTCTGTATAAACAGACACAGGCACACACTGTTTGCTTAGTAGTGTAACATCAGGAGAATTACATCACATCTGCTCTGTTTCTCCCCCAAGGATCGGTATCTTCACTGTGATTAGCACCGGTGGTTATTATCATACTGGGTGGATGTTTCTTTTTTGGGGATATATAGTAACCGATATCTTCTACGCTCCCCACAGTAATAATGAATCCTGGGGGGTGGGGGGATAGCACTGAGAATTTGTTACTTGTACTGTTCTATGTTTTGTAACCGTCTGCTAAAGATAATTTATAGTAATGTGAATGTTTGTGATACAACCACACTTTGTCCTTAAAGGATGTTGTTTCATATGTTTCGTCATTATCAGTAACGCTCATAAAAAGACCAACAATGTTCTAATCAGTGTCTTAAATGTGACAGTTTTCCTATCCCTTCAGCAGAATTCAGCTCATTACTATTTAAGTCATTATTTGTTGAGTTCAAAAGTATTTACGGCAGCAGGATGGAGTGCTGGGGACGGACTCAAAATAAACTAGAGTTGCTATATTCATTGTAATGAAGGGACATACAACAATGGTGGCCTGAGGAGAATTAAGCAATTTGTTTTGGTCTTTTTGTGGGGTTTGTTGGCAATACATGTACTATAAAAAGGGTTAATTAATGCAGTTAGGCTAACTAACTACACAGGACTCACAAAGCACTTTATGGTTTTGTGATGTTCTCAGGACCGATACATGATCCTTGGAGAAAATGGCTTCTTTGTGAACCCATCAGACTCGGTGGCCATCATGGGTGCTAACCTCTCCACCATCCCCTACTTCAGACAGTACGGCGTCAAAGGATTTGCTCGAAGTATGGCCACTAGTGCTGCCCTTGATAGGTACAACACACACACACACACACACACACACACACACACACACA